AAAAGCAGTTTCATTGCCTGTCTGACATCTTATCACCGCTGAACAATAAATAGGTGTGAATATTTTTAGGCATGTTGTGAAACAAATGAATAGGATTAGGAACAATGCCGTTTTGGAACAGCTGGTTGAAACAATGAAGTCAGTCATGGTCTTGTTGAATTGGGGGTGCGGTTAGTAATAGGTACTTTTCAAGTTTTCAATTTTTGTTAAGAACTCTTTAATCCCGAAGCCGGAATTGGGGGTGCGGTTACTATTACGTATGCGGTTTATATTAGGACTTTAACGGTAATTTGCATAATTAATTGCTTTTGAGATTTCAAGTAGTAATCATTACTTTACAATGAAACTTGGTACATACTCAAAGACTATGCAGAGATCATTTTTTGGGGGGTAAATATTTGTGCATAATAATTACCTAATTTGCATAATTAGTTATTTTTCAGCTTTTCCACTGATATCTCAAGTACTAATCATCACATTTCAATGAAATTTGGTACACATATGGTCTGTTTCATTGTGCAGACCTTATTAGTTTTACACTCAAATCTGTTCATATTAATTTCCTGATTAGTTTCCAACTTTCCCATCAATATCTCATGTACAAGTAATTTTGAATTAATTTTGAATATGTTTCCAATACTCTCAGCACACAAGAGTTCTTTCTAAGCTTTCTTTTTGATTATGAATTGAGCTTTGTACAATTTTTGTATACAAAAGTAAATTTTTTGTACAGTATTTGTCACCTTTTTTTATACTGAGATACTGGGATAGCTATAGCTATATAAGCTATACTGCACAGGCAACAAGGGCTGAGACTCACACAAAAATCTATAGTCATAAGAAATTCTAGTTCAAAAATTCAGCCACTTGATTGACTCTACCCTGTCACCTCAACTTCAGTTTTAGATTTAGATTATTTGTGAAGCTCAGCCCTGGGTACCTGGATTTCAAGGAAATCATGGATAGGTATTATTATACCCATGGATCATCTGCAACGTGAAATTAAGAGAGAAATTTTTTTTTTTTTTATTTATAAACATTTATTTTCATTTATTTCTTAAAAAATATTTAATATTCAAAGCTTTGTTTCAGTGTCAGTGTCCGATTCAAAGTCTTTGGACTCTAACTCAGCAATGCTGGATGTGATTGATGGGCACTGTGCATAATGATCCTCCATTGATCGCCCACACTTTGAACACTGGAAATAATGTTGAATATCACTATCACTGCTTATGCCATTATCTTCAACACTGCATATGTGATTGTCCAAAATACCTTTTTCATAGCATAAGCTGCATGTCCTTCCGAAGACCAAACTGATATGTGTGACGTTGCCGTTGATGGAGGATTCATCTTCATCTGGAAATAGAAAATCATAGAAAATAATTTAACACATGCAAATTTTGCTTTACAGGCAGAGAAATTAAGCAGAAAACGCAAAGCTCCAACACCCAGGGCTGCACCTGTAACCAAGAAAGACAGAATTCAAGCTGCAGAACGATTGCTGTTATTGTTAGACGATGAACAAACAAATGGTGAACCAGACATTACTATTACCATACCATTATTTGAGGAAATTGCCATTCAGACTGAACCTGAAATTAAGTTATGATTGATCAAGGCATAAATGCGAAGCCAGCAATGAAAACTGTTGGTACACAAACTGTCTATGACAAGTACATGCTAGGTTCAAAGGTTGAAAACATGATTTTAAGAAATGAAGTGAACACAATGAAATCAAGTAAATCCGATGATGAAACCACCTTCGGAAAACTGTCGCTTGATTCCATAAAAGACCGTGACAAAAAGATGAGGTTTTTTTG